ATTTGGAAATACATGTTATGTTTTCTTAAAGGTTACCTTACAGAATTTGATGTCGTTAAAGAACATGAATAAATCTAGAATTAAGCAAATATCCAAAAGAGTGCAAACGCTCATCTGCAGGTTTCCAACATTCTGTAAAATCCATAAAATAATTTGATGTGCTGAATGTTTGACAAGAGCGCAGCTGGCAAGTCTATCCATTTTTCCACTGGTCAAACACACTTGATCTGAGAGAAGCCAGTGACTGCTCTTATCTCTCATATTCAAGTGTTTAACTGAGCCTTGACCCCAAAACCTTTCACACGCACACTCCACTAGCTTCTATTCCCAGAAGCCCCTCCTTCGTGATCAGTTCAAATCCATCTACAAATTAATAAACTTAAGTTACTGACGTGAATCTATGCACCTGATGGAGCACTAACATTTCTGATCTCTGATTAGGCATGCATATTAATAATGATTTGTGTTTTTTTTTTCCTGATGATTCTGAGTTAACTGGGTTTGTTGTGGAATGTGTTTTGGCTTGGATGTAGGAGCCTGAAATCTTGTTGAAGGTTCAAGATGTTTGCCCGGTGAACTCACTCAGATATGTGCACAAAGATGTCATTGCCTCCGTCTGATGGCGTGATGAAACCGTGTCCTTTGGAACGTGAAAAGCACTTGCAGACCCCAGTGAAGACCGGCCCCTCGGCTGCACGTGCTGCACTGGAGTAGTAGAGAGGAAAACGTATGATTCAACATTCTACATATGGATGAATTTCACAGAAATGTGCCTAGGTCACAACCTAAAAACTAATATGGAACATTTGGATAAGTAAGATGTTTTAAAATGTTTTTAAACATGCTCTGTTCACCAAGGCTACATTTATTTGATTAAAAATACAGTAATATTGTGAACTATTATTACAATGTAAAAGAACTGTTTTTTATTTTAATATTTTGAATATAATTTATTCCTGTGATGGCAAAGCTGAATCTTCAGCATCATTACTCCAGGCTTCAGTGTCACATGATCCTTCAGAAATCATTCTCGTGTGATGATTTGGTGCACAAATATTATCAGTTGCTATTTGTGCTCAATGATTAATAATGGTTCTTATTGTCAATGTTGAAACTTTTTTTTTTTTTTTTGCTCAATATTTTTGTGGAAATAATACATTGTTTTCAGGATTGTTTGATAAATAGAAATTTCAGAGCAGAATTTATTTGAAATATAATTTTTTTGTAATATTATAAATGTTATAAATACAGTCTCAAATACTTGCAAAATAAAAGTATTGATTGCCTTTTTTTTGTATTATCTTACTGAACCCAAACTTTTAAATGGTAGGCTATGATCGTGGTTTTCACAAAATGAAGCAGCACACCTGTTCTCATTGATGATAATTTTCAGGGGACGTCGCTGAAGGAAGGTCGATTTGTTACTAAGTTTTTAAATGACGTTGTGATGTCATTGCACGATGACATCATTACGTAATTACAACGCAAAATTGTGTCACTACATCATATTTCAGCAAAAAATATATTTTATATATGTTAATTTAGATTTGTTTGTAAAATAATATAACGTACTATAATATTAAGATATAAATAACTGTATTTTTAAATACAGCATTGAATTATTGAACACTTACACATTTTTGAACACTTACAATGTAAGTTTTTTTTTTAGCTAGTAAACTAGTAAAACTACACATTCTGAACAATTATAGTTTTAAGCAGTGTATTAGCAGTTAGTTAGTTAGTATGCTTCTGTAAAAAATAGAGCACAATCTACTATTATAATATGAAGGATTTTTCCTTATTGGTTTTTCTCAGTTTTTTTTTGTACCTGCATTTTAAATTACGCATTGTATTTTATGTTTTCAGGTTACAATGGATAATGAATAATGGATAACGGATAATGTCCTGGAAAATAACTAGTACCTTTTCCATTTTTCTAGATAGTTTTCTTACAGTGAACTAACTTATCAACAATCACAGGAAGCTACTAACAAGGTGTATCATAAATGAGCAATTATTCAAATATTCAATTATTATTATTAAATTAAACAATTGCTAATAGCAGCTAATTTAAG